TAAACAACACGTGCATTTGCTCTGGATTGTAATACTGTCACTAACATTATGTCAGTAATGCACACACTATTCCCGAGGGGATAATTGTGTGGAACGTCCTGAAGACCATTGTATCTCCTTCCTGCTTCCTCAGATTTGATGAATATTGGTGTTATTTATAAATATTGTATGGTTGGGTTTCAATGGTACAGTAGAAAGACTTTTTTTCCTCCTCTGAGAAATTCCTTTTGTTTTTGCAGTGCTGGGGTTGAACATGGGGCTGCAAGCATCTAGGCAAGTGCTCTACTGCTGAGCTACTTCCCCAGCCCCATTTGAGGAATTCTGATATCATCAACAAATATAAATTTCTCCTTGTTAGTTTTTTCTGCACCAATAAAATTTAGTATCCCTAGTTTCATTTTGAGCAATTGTTGATTCTGAAGACCTCGAAATATTTCCCACTGCATTTTAGGTATGAAGATAAGATTTGTTCTTTACTTTGTGAATTTGTGAAAAATTACAGGTTGCTGTCACGCTCTGGTATGAAAGGTGAAGCTTGTATTTTCAGATTGTGTGTTGATTCATGGAGGGAGAAGGATAAACTGTTAAGGCAGTACTGGGGGCCACATGTACTCAAGACATCTTATGCAGTACTGCGTAAGAAGATGTCTTGAGTAGGAGTGGCCCTTATAATTGATGCAAAACAGATAATGTGTCAGGAGTGGTGATGCAGCTTGGGAGGCTGAGGCAAAAGGATCACAAATTCCAGGCCACCCTTGGCAATCTAGTGAAACCCTATCTCACAAGTAAATAAAAAGTGCTTGGGATGTAGCTCAGTCATAAAGTACCCCTAGGTTCAGACCCCAGAACCACAAATAAAAGAAAACAAAAACTGATAATGCTGCATAGAGCATGGCATGCAAAAACAGTGACATCCAGCCAGGGAGGAAGAGAAAGGGCCTTATGCCTAGAGTTCCTTTTAGGAGAAACATTCTGAAACTTGTATGCAAATTTGTTGGTGAACATAAACTATTGGCTCAATTGCAGGGAGAGGTGGGGCTGTCATTCTGTTTCTCCTTCTCTTTATCTCCTTCTCTTGTGACCGGTGCCATTAAACTTGGAATGATTGACTTAGATAATAGAAACAATTCCAGCATTCTGTTGTATTGGATCTATAAAATTTCGTATTTTTCTTCAGGATCTTTCTTGCTGTCATGTGAACATGTTGATAGTATCACATGAATGTCACAATATTGATCACCATAACTACCTGTCTTGGAAACTGACTAGAAGTGTCAGAGGCTCAGTGAACTCTTCTGCCTGAACAAGCCCTGATGAAACCCGATGGTGCGAATGTCAAGGGAAACTGTGGCTTGGTATCATGGGTTTATGACAGGATTGAAGGGGGCCATACTCACCACCTCCAGGCCTGCCATATTGGCCTGTTATTGACAGAAAATACATTAATAAAGAGAAGATGATGAGTTATTAACTTTTTCTCCCTTTCTTCTTCCATCACTTTTTTTGGCCTTTTTTTCCCCCTTTCTTTCTTTTTTGATACCAGGAATTGAACCCAGGAACATTTAACCACTGAGCTACATCCCCATCCCCTTTTTTTATTTTGAGACAGGGTCTCTCTGAGTTGCTTGGGGCCTCTCTAAGTCGCTGAAGCTGGCTTTGAACCCATAATCCTCCTGCTTCAGCCTCCCTAGCCACTGGGATTACAGGCCTGCGTCACTGCACCTGGCTGTTATCTCTTATTAACTTATTAGTGAATGTTGGATGGCCAGTTTGTGCATTTTAGCCTTTTTTCCAAGATGTAAGATAATGTCTTAAAATAATTAGCTACATTTAAAGATCTCCCTCATATGTGAACACCATTGGCAATGCAAATTGTTTATGCCAGTATAACCCTCATTAGTGACCAGCAAAAGCCATGATTTCTTTGTTTCAAACACCGTAATGAATGTGTAGACTCTCCTATGGAGACAAGAGGCCACCTTAAAGCTGCAGGCACTGGAAGCTCTGCTTGATCCTATGTGGCCAAGACTTCCATTGTGACTATCTTCTCTCTTGCTGCCACCAAGTACTGGTGCTGAACTAGATCCAGGCCCCTCTGAAGGGATGTGAGTGTAGTATTTGCCAGAGCCACAAGACTGAACTAGAGCAAGACAGGACTGTGGGACTCTAAAAAGCTGGCTCTGATACACAGCAGCTCTTCTTTACTAGCCAGCCCTGAAAGAATATACAGGGCTCCTGTGCCCACAGAGCACCTCTGCTGCCCAGCTCATCCCCCATCCTGACTGCAGGCTGTGATGGAAAGCAGCAGTGTTGCCCCCAAACCTTGATTTTTAAAAAAATTCACAGACATGACTACACATGTAGTGGTCTTCTAATCTGGCGAGCACAGCAAGGAGTGAGGGGCAATGCATTTCTGAGCAGAACTTTCAAATACTACAGCCGTCTTTTACAGAAAATTTCTCCCAATCCATGTGCTCTGACCTTCATTTTTTTTCCCTCTTCTTTCAAGGACCAATATAAGTTTGCAGGTATTGGATCTTGGGTTTCCTCCCCACTCACAAGTGCAAGTGTCTAGGGCTTTGTTTCAGGCCCTGGGGAGGAACAGTTGTAAATGCAGTGTGACTCACTTGACTCCCACTCTCTGCTTCTGGTTCTGATTGGTCGCCACCTTGCTCTAGCCATATGGCTGAAGAGTACTCCAGCCTGCATCTCTCTCTGGCTCTTCCCTGCTGTGGCGTATAACTGGGAGCAGGTTCTGGGCTTTGTCTCTTCCTTCTGGTCCACTTGAGTTAGGCAGTAAGTAGGAGAGCACACTGTGTTTCCTAAGGATGGCTGTAGAGGAGGAAAACACTCTGTTCTTTTGTGCCTGGTACAGTAATTATTGTTTCCTATGCTGTTTTTATTCAAGAGGGCATTCTGTTTATTTCTTTGGCAGGTGTCACATTTGTTTTGTATTATTTCCTCCTGGTCTCTGTCTCCTGTTTTTGTAAGCATTCTTAGACACTCCCCTTTATCTGCTGATGCGGCACTTTAGCTATCTTGCCAATGTTCAATGTCTGATCTGGGGAGGAGGACTGAGAGCAACTTCAAGTTATTATTTCATTTGTAAACATCCAAAAGTTATGGCAGGGTCCACACAATAAAATCTACATGTGATGCTCAAAGTCACCTGCAACACTGCTACTATTACTTTCATTCTTGTAAACCGTAACAGTTCAATTTCTCTGCCTTTTATTTTAAACTTGCAAAATAAAATTTTGAAGACTCAAGTTAATTTTTATAAGTGTTCAATATTTTATTAGTTTGCATTTTAATTATTCCACAGATGGTTTCTGCAAAGACTTTGGACTCTGCGTTTAAAAAAATATATTTATTCAGAGAGGCAGTGATAGTAGAATATAATGTATAGGAGAATTTTTTTCTCCCCCCAAATTGGCCTTTATATGACATTTTAATTGTCTAAAGAGAATCAATAATGAAAATTTAAAAATCTCAAGAATATATTTTGTATTGATTTAAAGTTTTTAAAAATCCATTTTATAAATATTTTAATGTTTGAATATGTTAAGTGAGTAGTCTGCAGGTTTGAATTCTTTAAAGTGTGTGTGTGATAAAGTTGGTTGGAGCCATAGTAGAAATTTGAAAATTAATTTGGCTCTTCTGGTTTCATTTAACCCTTTATTTAAACCTCTGTTGCTGAGCTCAACTAGCACTTTCTTTATCTCCATTCATAATCTGTACTGGAAAATAACAATCTTTAACAATCTTTTTTTTTTCAGAAATAGTACACTGAGCTAGTGAACTCACTTAAAAGTGTGTGAGAGCAATGATGTTTATTCAGCCATGGGGACAAGGGAGCCAGACCCCAAATCTGGCCTCATATGGTTATGACAGCATATAGTCTCTGAGCCATTTACTTGTCTTCAGTCTTGTTACTTCACACACACTGTGAAAAGGACGTGGACATTTACTCAGCATCATAGTTCTCAGCGTAGAGTACAGTTGTGAACAAACTTCATTCTGTTGAAATGTATGACTCTAGGGCCTGGGAATACAGCTCAGTGGTAGAGTGTTTGCATGTACATACAAGACCCTGGGTTCAATCCCCTGCACTGCAAAAAGAAAGAAATGTATTATTATAGTAATGAAGATAGCCAAAAACACTTTTAAAAGTTTGAACAAGGTCTAGAAAATTCAAGAAACCTTAATTTTAAATTTTCATCCCATGTAGTCAAATCCCTAGACTGTCTAACCAAATGGATTTCTACAGATCCTGTTCCAGCAAAGAAGTTCTACCCAAGAGTTACATATTTCAGTAATTTAGAATGTCTAATGTTTATATTGTATACTACTGGAATCATGGTTTATTTGTTTTAAATGTGTTTAATGTTTCAAATTGGGATAGATACATGATATTTATTTGATTAATAAAAATTACTGTGATTGAGATCGCTTATATCAGATGCACAATAATGTGCCAATCATAGTTCTGAGTACTTTGTGTATATTAGCTCACTTGTGCTTGTAAGTACTTACTGTCTCCTCATTTTATATACCAGGACATTAAGGCACAGGTAGGTTAAGACACTTGCCCAACACTGTGTGGTTGGTAAGAATATAAACTGAACTTTGAATTGAAGCAGTAAGATTCCAGAGGCATGCTGTTACTGCTGTGCTAGTCAGCCCTTCCAGTCTTACTTGCTAACCTAATAGTAGTCAAGAAATCTGAGCTCTGCAACATGATCTCTTAGCTGTTTTTTAAATCTACATGCCTTAATTTCCCTTTATAAAAAACATTTCTTATACCATTGGTTTCATATTAATGATAATGACTTTTATGTTCTTTGAACTCCTTGTTTGTACAGTCTATGTAATTATAGATGTTACAAGTTTTAGATGAAACTAGTATGGAAAAGATGTCAGAGGCATATAATTGCTGTGTTTCCATGCAGCTAACAGAACAGCATTCTGATAGATTTTTTTTTGTCTTCATTTGGTAGAAAAGAGTAGTTGAACAACTACGGAAGAACCTGATAGTAAAGCAAGAACAACCAGACAAGTTCCAAATACAGCCATTGCCACAATCTGAAAACAAACTACAAACAGCACAGCAGCAGCCACTACAGCAACTACAGCAACAACAGCAGTACCACCACCATCACGCCCAGCAGCCAGCTGCACCCTCTCCCAGCTTGACTGCTTCACAGGTAAAAGTATAGATATAGGCTTTTTTTTTTTGGTAGATTGGTTGTGATTGGTCATGGAGAACAGGATTTGTGTCAGCCATCCTAAGCTCAACTAGCAGCACTAAACAAAAGTTCCTGTGGGGTGTGGGTTGTAGTTCTGTGGTAGAGCACTTACCTAGCATGTGTGAGGCACTGGGTTTGATTCTCAGCACTGCATATAAATAAATAAAAATATTTAAAAATTAAAAATTAAAAAATAAAGGTCCATTGACAACTAAAAAAATTTTTTTTTAAAAAGTTCTTGTTACATTTTTTCTTGAAATTCACTGGCAGGAAGAAAGAGGCAAAAGTTAAATGACCTGTCCAAAGAAGGGAGAAAGAGTCAGTGACAAAGAAAACTCCCTTTTGTGCATTCCAGGAGAGTAAAAATTCTTATTTTGAATTTCTGGAGGTATTTGTTTGCACTTATTCTAAAAGTCTGGCCTCTTCCGGAATTGTTTTTCTGGAAATTTAGCAGGTAGGCTTGAAGCTATAGAATAGTGCTCTTAGGTCCAGGTAGAAGCATTCAGAAGGACGATGTTAGCCAGTTCAGTGGCACTCATGTATAATCCCAGCTACTCAGGAAGCTGAAGCAGGAGGATCACAAGTTTGAGGATAGTCTGGACAACTAGTGAGACTTGTTTCAAAATAAAAGGGACAGGGTATGTAACTCAATTGTAGAATACCCCTGGATTTAGTTCCCAGTACCCCCAAAAAAAGCTCCCAACCAGGACTTGTGTCATTTCTAAAAGAATGCTTATAGCCTGACTTTCGTTTGGAGTATTTTCTTTGTTTTTGCTTTTTTGTGGTGCCGGGGATTGAACCCAGGGCCTTGTACACGTGAGGCAAACACTCGTTGGGAGTCTTAAACAGAGTTGGGTTAGGTTTTTCTCTTTCCAAAAGTTTAGTGGATCAGAGAGTATTTACATGGAAAGAATGTGGTAGAATTTGTCGTTACCTCATGCATAGGAGTTTTCTGTCTTAATTCATGGAAACTTTCTCTTCGAGTAACTTACCATGTGATACAAATCAGGGAATATTTCTAAAATACTTATAATAACTATTTCCTTCCCTGGTCACCTGAGTTCTGTGCTGCTTTGGGACGATGGATGGTGAGAGGTCCAGGAGTATCTTCAAAATAGTGTTGTATGACATCTCTCCATTTGGTAGCCTGCCTGATTAGCTAACCATTGTTTTATTTTGTTTAATTCAAAGATTTAATGTTAAAACCCAAAGGATCCTCAAGATTTTTGATTTGGGTGATTTAACTTTACATTAAACTGTCATTCATATTTATTGACTGCTCTCTGTGTACTAGATTCTGGCATTACAAAGAGCAGTGGTCCCTGCCAAGAATCTGGAACGTTCTGATAATTCATCTTCATTTATTCTGTAAATATTTATTGAATCCTATTATGTGCAAGCTGTGCTAGGTAACATGAAGAGTAGATTCACAAGTAAGATAGTTTCTGTTTTCAAGAACCAAAAACATTTATAGAGCAAAAGGAAGACATAAACTGCTAATAAGAAGAAAAGTACTAGTGAAAAGCTGTAAAAAATACAGAGAACAGAGTAATCTTACAGGAATCAGAAAATGCTCCTTAAAGGAGGTGGCATTTGAGCAGGGCCTCAGCCGGTGAATGGGATTTCAGTGATGATGGAGCACAGGGGAGAGAAGAGAAGTATAGAGAATAGTGTGAACAGAAGTGTGGAGTCAGAGAAGTAAATGCATACCTTGGGAATAGCAAGTAGGCTGGTGTGGTGGGAGCATAGATTCCAGGAAGATGAGGCTAGAAAAGCCAGAAAGGGGCTGGCTTATTGTGGAAGTCTCAACTGTATGACCCAAGCTGGGCATTTTGGCAGTCATAGTAAAGTAATAATAGGGGCAAAGAAAAATGGGAGGTTATATATGGCATATATTAAATATGTAACTTCAGAAAGGAATAACTACTAAGTAGTGATCAGAGTGAGCAGGGAAAAGATGCTAGGAAGAAAAGAATTTTTATTTGTTTTTGCAGTACTAGGGATTGAACTCAGGGGCCCTTTACCACTGAGCTACATCCCCAGCCCTTTTTAAAATTTTTTATTTTGAGTCAAGGTCTCCCTTGCTTAGGCTAGCTTGGAATTTGCTGTTCTCCTGCCTCAGCCTTCTGATTAGCTAACCAGAGTGCACCACTGCACTGCACCAGGAGAAGATTTTTTTTTTTTTTGGAGGGGGGACGGGTACTGGGGATTGAAACCAGGGGCACTCAACCACTGAACCATATCCCCAGCCCTATTTTGTATTTTATTTAGAGATAGGGTCTCACTGAGTTGCTTAGCTCCTCATTTTGCTGAGGCTGGCTTTGAACTTGTGCTCGTCCTGTCTAGGTCTCCCAAGCTACTGGGATTACAGGTGTGCGCCACTGTGTCCAGCCACCAGGAGAAGGTTTTTTATTGTCTGTTAGGGGGTATTTTTTTTCTAAGCCAAGTGATGATCATGTACCAAAGCATAAAGGAAGCAATGAAGAAATCTTGTTGCAGGAAGCGGTAGGACCAGTTCCTTTTATGTAGTTAACTCCAACTCATATGTTTTAAAATTTTTTCCCATATACAGAAAAAGAATAGAATACTTGAATACAGGTATGCCCTTTGACCTACATTCACAATACTTTCATTTTTAATAATACAAAACAATAAAGAAGAATGCAGTTAATACAATGAAACAATGTAAACACTTACAAAGGAGAGGGAGGTTCCTTTCTGTGGCTGTTTGGGTGCACAACAGTGAATTTCCACTCAAAATTAAGCAAACTATCTAAAATAGTTATGAAGGTTACTAAAAACCCATAGTAATAATTTCTCTAAGTTCTGATGCATACTTTGGAGTTTTTAATCAGTACTTCATATTTTGCAAGTAAATAACAATAACTTAGCAAAAGAAATAAACAAAAGGGATTTTGTTGTTGGTGTTAATTACCCTGTTTTTCTGCATTAACTTCTGGCTCATGCAATTTGGGGTTTTCTCAAAATTTAAAAATTCTTTATGAAAACTGTGCAGTAAGTACTACCCTCATGAAGATGATCAGATATGGACAGCATTAGCTAGCCAAGGACTAATCACAGCTTCCTTAAAAACTCAATTTCTTTGTTATCAGACACTTTTTTGCTTTGCATTTTCTCCTCCTCTTGCCAAAACAATTCAGATGTTTTCATTAGGCTTGGATTTCAAAGTTACAGATTCTCTTTCTATCTAATCCTAATGAAGAGCTAGTTTTCTGTTCCCTAATATTTGAACTAGAGTAACCACCAGGCCAAGAGTAAAAAAATCTAAGGAGACCTATGTGTTGGTGTCAATAAATGGTTAGCTAATATATACTTTTAGATATTTTCATTGAGGCATAGAATATATGGAATTTTATAGACACTGAAATATGTGTAGTGAAATCAGGCACAACCAAATATTTATAAAGCAAAGATGTGAACACACTCATTAGATTTCAGTGTTATTTAAGCATTGGTTTAATGGGAGGTGTGTACATAGTCAGGAAGGTTTGTGGTTTTATTAAGTATTTTCTGGAGTAATCAGTTTAGGGCTATTATTCAAAATGTTGATAATGATTTACCTGAACCAAGAGTGTGTCCAAAAAAAAAAAAAAAAAAAGTACTTTGAACTCTTACAGTGACAGTATGCCAACTGTTTTTAAAAGCCGTGTCAGGTTCAGCTGTCCAGAGCTGTTTCCACGACCCATAGTAGCAGTAGGATTGAATGGCATTTGGTGTGACTTGCTCTCCACTTCAAAAATTCTTTGTATTTAAACATTTAAAATTGACAGGTAGTGCTAAAATTGCACTGTTTAAAACTCTTATTACAGATAGCTGGTATTGGGGCTGGGGTTGTGGCTCAGTGGTAGAGTGCTCACCTAGCACATGTGAGGCACTGGGTTCAATCCTCAGTACCACTTAAAAATGAAATAAAGATATTGTATCCACCTACAACTAAAAATAAATATTTTTTTAAAAATCAACAAAAGCTGGTCAGTTGTTGATGATATGCTACTGTAACATTTCTAATGATTCATGGCATCCAGCTTTAATTTGGTTTTCATCACTGATAGAAAGTAATGACCTGATACCCCCAAATACTCTTTATTTCACATTCGAGCAGACAGTGGCACTAAGAGTTGAGGCAGTCTTGTTATTGCCTTGGAGAAGTGGAAACAAAGACTCAGGTGATTTTAATTATAAGAGTTAATGAGAAACAAAAAAAAAAAAAGGGAGAGAGAGAGTTAATGAGAATTGCTGACTAAGCTATATGGGATAGAGGAGGCCAGATCATTAAATTTTTTGGTTAAAAGAAAAAAAGAAACATGTGCATTATGCGTGTATGTGCCAGAAAGAGAAATAATCATCTACAACCAAACAATAATAATACACAGGTACTTATAGACACAGAAATGGAATTTCATAAAAAGGGAAGTTGTCTGAGTATGTTTCAAGGAGAGTAAGAGTACTCATCCCTGGTCCAGAGCAGTACCATCCAACACAACTTTCTGCAGTTTTGGAAATACTGTCTGTCCCCACTGTTCACCTTGGTAGCCACTAGCCACATGTGGCTTTTGAACACTGGAAAATTGGCTAGTGCAAATGAGGAATTGATGTTTTAGTTTTAATTTAAATTAAATATCAACATGTGGCCTGTAGCTACCAAAGTGTACAAATGGAGAGTAAGAAGAAATGGTAGAATAATATCAGAACCAGCAAGTTGGACCAGATACATTTTCATGTTCCTGAAATGTCTGCATCTCAAGTGACTGGTAGCACAAGATAGACGTGTGCTGTGTAATGAGCATGTTTCTATTTTCTTGTTTTGTAACTGACACTTGTAATTATTCTAGTAAAAAAATCTAGAAAAATATAGCTTCAAAGCTGCAATAGCACTTATGGAGCATCAGTCAAGTCCTCTCACTTCAGCTCATCCTCTGATCTCGAAGGTTTTTTGAAACTCAGGTGTTTGTTTCGGCCTTGTCACATTTCAGTGAATCTTTGATCACTTTTGTAGCAGTTCTCTGGAGAAAAGATTATAGGTAGGGACTCATATCCCTTTGGTATTAAGAACTAGTATTTCCTATACTAGTTGGTTAATGTTTCATTATGTGGAATTTGGGATTTTCTGCCTCTCCAGGGTGACACTCAAAAAAGAAAGACAAGACACTGTCTCTTTCCCCCAGCCTTTGTGTCACAAGGGACAGAAAGCCAGAATTATATGATGACTTTCTTCATATTGGTAAGATTATAGCAGTTAGGGATAGAGAGGATATGTTTCCCATTATTTGCATCCTATATGTAAATTCATTAATTTCTACCAAAGAATTAGACTAGAAGAAATAAGTACACTCATATTCTGTGTCCAGAAACCCTCTCTGCCATATTAGTCTACAGTTATTAGAGTGAGCTTGCCCATTTACAAATAACACTAATTTGTGAATTCCAGCAAGCTGGAGAATTCTTTCCCTGTAGTGAGCTGTGTACTCTATGTACACAAGAGAAATGTTGTGATACTAGAAACTTGATCAAGTATGAGAATTATTGCTTTATTTTCTTTTGGAGTTCAGTAGCATATTGTTTAGTTGGATCACATTTCTGTGTCCTAATATCTGTTTTCCATGTCTCCTAGAAGACTGTAACTACAGCTTCTATGATTACCACAAAGACACTACCTCTCGTCTTGAAAGCAGCAACTGCGACCATGCCTGCCTCTGTTGTGGGCCAGAGACCTACCATTGCTATGGTGACCGCCATCAACAGTCAGAAGGCTGTGCTCAGCACTGATGTGCAGAACACACCAGTCAACCTCCAGACGTCTAGTAAGGTCACTGGGCCTGGGGCAGAGGCTGTCCAAATTGTGGCAAAAAACACAGTCACTCTGGTAAGCCAGCAGCTGCTACTCATGTACCCATGTTAAGAGGGTTCAGGATACGTATTTGTAGAGTAATCCATTTTAGCTCCTGCTAGAGCTCCGATCTCTCCGGCATGCCAAATTCCCCTTTGAACCTGATGGGACAATATAGCATTCCCACAGTTTTTTCCAGTTAACTATAGAGGTGTCTTGACACCAAAGGACCAAATTAAGCACATTATCTGTGGTCAAAGTATGACCTAATTTTCAGGGAAAAGTTTCCTTCATGAAGGCATATATGCTGTTTCATTTATCTGTCCCTCCATTCTATCCACTGTCCTTCCTGTGCAACTTGAGTATTTAAACTCTCTTGTTTATTATTGCTACTTTAGAGAAAATTCCCTACTAAATTCTCTTAATTTACTCTCCTTTAAATTGAACACAAACAGAGTTTGGGAGTTGGTTGGGGCACATGAAAAATATTCAAGATATTCACAAATTAACATGAGTAGCCAAGTTCTGTGGCAGGGGTTGAGTGGGATCCCTTTAAGGAAGTACTTGAACAGGAATTGTTCATGAGGTTTCTAAGATTAAACCATTTAGAAACTAATATTTTCAGAAACTTGGAGGAACTATATCCAAATTTTGACAAAATTCTTTCCTTAAGATGGCAATTATGAGCTCTTGGTGGCTTTTGAAGAATGACCAATGACTAGTGAAACTAGAGAGCAACAAAGTGGAGCTTTGCCATTTACCCAGGAATCCCTAGAGAAGCAACCAGCTCACTCAGTTAGATGCTGAGAGTTAAGAAATCCTCTATAGGAATAAAGCCACTTAGTGTTCACTGTTGGATACGGCTCTTCCATCAGGAAAAAGCCCATTTGGCCAGTCCACAAGTTTGATTTTACTTTGGATCCAGTCTTAACTTTTAAAATATGAAAGTGCAAGAGTTCTTGAGTATCAGAGGAAGTCATGTAAGAATGGTGAGCTTGCTCTGTTCCACTTGAGCTGTGAGGAAACAGAGGTGTATTAGTTCATGTTATGGCATAAAATGTACAGGTGTGAGAGAGAAAAGTCTCCTGATGCAGTGTTAATTCAAGTGGTTAACTTTACAGTGAAAGCTCGTAGAAAATGTTGTCTAATCCAGAGAAGAATGTCTCGCTTTGATATTGAATTATGATTTTTCTTTCTGATTCATTTGTCTTTCCCGTTTTTTTAGCAGGTTCAAGCAACCCCTCCTCAGCCCATCAAAGTACCGCAGTTTATCCCTCCTCCCAGACTCACTCCACGTCCAAACTTTCTCCCACAGGTGAGTAAGCCAGTGAGAAGCTGGTAATGGGTTAGGTAGGACACAAGTCCTGATGGGACTTTTTTTCTCTACATTTTTTATTGGCGTATAATAGTTGTATATAATGATGAGATTTGTTGTTAAATATTTGTACATGCACTCAGTATAAGAATATAATTTGACTAAAATCACTCTATACCATTTCTCCCCTCCCTCCCCAGATCCCTTTCGTCTACTCTACTGATCTCCCTTTGATTTTCATGAGAAGCCACCCTCTCCACTTTATCAGAGAAAACATAATGACTGTTGACTTTCTAAGTTTGACCATATTTCACTTAACATAATGGTCTCTAGTTTCATCCATTTTCTTACAAATGACATAATTTTATTTTTCTTTATGGCTGGATAAAACACCAATGTGTACACCATATTTTCTTTATCCATTCATCTGTTGATGGAATCCTTGACTGGTTTCGTAGTTTGGCAATTGTGAGTTGTGCTGCTATAAAATAGGTATGCATGTATCACTGTAGTATGATGACTTTATTCTTTAGGTTAAATACCAAGGAGTGGTATAGCTGAGTCATATGGTGATTCCATGCCTAGTCGAGTCTCCATACTGTTTTGTGGGTATACTAGTTTACAGTCCCACCAACAGTGTAAAAATGTCCCCTTTTTCCCCCACATCCTCTCCAGCATTTATTATAGATTGTATTCTTGATGACTGCCATTCTTACCAGTGTGAGATGAAATCTCAGTGTAGTTTCGATTTGCATTTCCCTAGTTGCTAATGATGTTGAACATTTTTTCATATTTTTTGACCATTTGTATTTCTTCTTTTTGAGAAGTGTCTGTTTAATTCATTTGCCCTCATGGGCCTTTTCTAAGCAGCCTGTAAGCAGGCTTACCAATTCAGCTGCATTCAGATTCCACTTAGCAAAAAATTCTGCCAGTTTCTCTACCAGGAGGAATCTTATTTTTTTTTTTTTTATCATGGTTTATTAGCAGTGACCATATGCAGTAGAAGAGAGAAGTGAAGGAAAAGGAAATTTTCCTAAATTCAAAACAATTAAGATTACAATCATTAGGGCTGGAGTTGTGGCTCAGTGGTAGGGCACTTGCCTAGCATGTGTGAGACACTGAGTTTAATTCTCAGCACCTCATAAAAATAAATAAACAAAATTAAGGTACTGTGTCCATTAAAAAAAAAATTACATCATTAGGCTAGGGGATGGGGGCTAGCTCAGTGCTAGAGTACTTACCCAGCATGCACAAGGCCCTGGATTCAGTCCCCAGCAAAATAAGAAATAAATAAACAACAACACCATTATAAACTTTATAATTTAGCTAAAACCTGCCTGGCGGTGAAGAAAGAATACAGTTACCACTTTTGTTTTCCTTTTGCAAATGAAAGTGGGAAGGACAGCCAAACTAACCAGTGGAAACCATTCAGTTCTACTCTAGAAGTGATGATATTGCATATCATAATTAAAGGCCAAGTTTTATTATAAGATGTAGGAAGGGGTATGCCTAGGGTACTTTCTGCCCAGGCTCACACAGCTCTGCTTGCTCATATTTTTCCTGAGTGTTCTTTTAGCAATTTGACTGCCCATCACCATTTTCAAGGCAGAGTGTCAGGATTACCTATCTGACTCTTGAGGACATTGACTTGCCCAATAGTAAGGGTAAAACTGAGGCCCTACCTTTCAGGCTAAGAGAGAAAAGAAAGGAGTTATGTAACCTGATGCTCTGGTACACACCTGTAATCTCAGTTACTCAGGAGGCTGAAGCGAGAGGATCGCAAATTCAAGGCTAGCCTGGGCAACGTGGTGAGAACCTATCTCAAAATAAAATCAAAAGGGCTGGGGATGTAGCTTAGTAATATAGAGCGCTTACCTAGCATTTGCCTGGCCCTAGGTTCAATCCTCAGTACTAAAAACTAAAAAGGAAGAAAGGAATTTTGTGATCAGTGGCATAAATGATTTACAAATAGCCTCTTGAGAGAGATTGGACAGTGCTAACATGAGATAAGATGATTTCAGTCATTTATCAGATAAATATTTAATAAATATCTTGGGTAGCAAACACTGTACTAAGCGCTATAGATATGCCAGTTTTTAAGACAGAAGGTTCTCTGCTCTTAAAGAGCTTCAGAGACATTTACAGGCAATTACAGTGTCTGTTACGGGAAGTATAGAGTAGACTGAGAGTATGTGGGAGGAACACCCAGCCCATTCTCAAGAGCAGTAGAGAAAGTTTCTTTAAGGTTTCCTCGAAGAATTGATATTCAATCTGAGACCTAGAATCCTAGTAAAGTTAGCTTGACAAAATTTTGGGGGAAAAATAAAAATGTCCCAGGGAGAGGACAGAGTATACATGCGTCTGAAGTGTATAGGTGCATGTAGCTTCAGAGGACCGAAGGAACTTTGCTATAGCTGAGCACAGAGGGCAGTGGGGCTGATCTACACCAGAGATGAGACTAGAGCAGTGCACTGGGGCCAGAGCCTGTGGATCCTTCTAGGTTGTGTAGGAATCTGGGCCTTATTCTAGGGGCAGCTGGGATCCATCAAAGAATTTTTCAAGTAACTTCCCTAGCCTTTTTGATTTTATTTTGAGGCAGGGCCTCACTGAGTGGCCCAAGCTGGCCTTGATGTGATCAAACTTTATGTTTTAGAAAACTCCCTCTTGAGGCTGGGGTTGTGGCTCAGTGGTAGAGCACTTGCCTAGCACATGTGAGGCACTGGGTTCGATCATCAGCACCACATAAAAATAAATGAAGATATTGTGAGCCAATCGTGGTGGTATATGCCTGTAATCTCAGTGGCTGGGGAGGCTGAGATAGGAGGATCATGGGTTCAAAGCCAGCCTCAGCAATGGCGAGGCACTACTCAGTGAGACCCTGTCTCTAAATAAAATACAAAATAGGGCTGGGGATGTGGCACAGTGGTTGAGTGCCACTGAGTTCAATCCTAGTACTCATAAACAAATAAGTAAGTAAGTAAGTAAAGGTATTGTGCTCATCTACAACTAAAAAAGTATCAAAAAAATAAGAAGAAATTTTCTTCTTGCTACTATTTAGAGAATGGATTAGCAATGATCAAGACTGTGGATAAGAACAGATAGGAAATTCAGTAATGATGATAGTTAATGATTATAGAGGATTTTGTTATATATGAGGTTCTATGTTAAGCACTTTATGTGGGTTGTCTATTTTATTCTTCACAAGAACCCTGTGAATATGAGTGTTACTCCTTTTTTAGATAGGCAGTCTAAGGCTTAGTCTATGTTTTTCAAACATTGGGTCATAACTCATTAGTGAAACCTATTTAGTGGGTTGATAGCCCATGCTATATACTTTATTTCATGAAGTTTTTGTTTTATATAGATACAGATATTTATGTGTGTACTTTAAAATGGATTTCCTAAGGTAAGTCAGTGGTACCCACCTCAGGGTTATTTTAAGTTAAACTAAACTTTTGTTTAGACAGACTAGACTATCATTGGCCACATTTAACAGTAGTATACTTCAAATGATACAGGACAGAAAAAAACACTTGCCAAAAAGACAGCATTAGACATTTGTCTTCAATGGGAGTGCCTACAACAACTGTATAAAAGTTCCTGTAGCTATCTAGGGATTGTTCAGGTTTAAGGAAATGAGGTCTTTATCCAGGACATCAGGAGAGCCACTCTAGCATAGAAGCCTTATGTGCCACAGGAACCAATGTATCTTGTTTATAGTTCCATTGGCATGGCATTCGAGAGCCTCACAATGGGTATGTCCAAGTTAATGAGAGTCACCCAGTTAGGAGAGCCCAAAGCATGGTGTCCTGTTGAATATAATTCTCCCCATCCATGTTCAATTTAATTATCCCTTATTGATTCAGTAATAAATGCTTTTTTTATCATGCATGCCTGGTAACATAGTTGTATTCTTACTCTTATTGGGATTCTGGAGGTACAGAACTAGAGATAGAATTAACTGTGAATCAAACTCTGATTCATAAAGGAAAAGGATTTTACGTTCTGATCACAGTTTTAAAAGTTGGAAATATAACTGGTTTAGAAATACCAGAAATGTTGTCTGAGGTTACAGAGCTTATGAGTGTTAGAACCAGGATTTGAACCTAAGTAAGGTTGACTCCATATTTTTTAGCTTTTTTTTTTTTTTTTTTTGGTGCCAGGGATTGAACCCCAAGGCATTTAACCACTGAGCCATATCCCCAGCCTTTTTTTTTTTTTTTTTTTTTGAGAAGGGTCTTACTAAGTTGCTTAGGATCTTGCTGAGGCTGGTTTTGAACTTAAGGATCCTCTTGCCTCAGCCTGCTGAGCCACTGAGATTATACGCCTGCACCACTGTGCCCAGCTTAAATACATATTTTTTTAAAATTGGTTTCAATAGTCCAAACATAAACTACTGTTGTTGCAGTGAAGATAGAAAGAAGTAGACAAATTTGAAATTACTTAGGTAGTAGAGTTGAAGTAGGAAGTGTCAAGAATGATGCTAAAGCTTTTTTTTTTTTTTAATTTGTTTGTTTTTGTTTAGTTTTACATGGACACAGTACCTTTATTTTAATGTGGTGCTGAGGACTGAACCCGGTGCCTCACACATGCTAGGAAGTTCACTGAGTTACAACTGCAGCCCCGATGCCAAAGTTTATTTATCAAGAAAAGGCCATTTACTTAGTAGAGTTATCTAACAGGGAGTTGAGTATGATTCTGAAGTTTAGGAAATATTTCTGGTTCTAAGACCAGAAGACTGTGAAAGTCTTTAATACACGGATGGTAACTAAAGTCTTAGGAAGAGTGAGGACATTGGGGAACAAGAGGGGTTCCAGAACAAAATCCTGAGAAATATTTGCATGTAAGATGGGACAGAAGTAGCCAAGAACAGGGAATTAGAGGGCCAGAAGTGGAGGTTTACTTAACCAATCAATGTGAAGAAATTCAGAATGTGAATTAAGGCTATTAGCAATACTATTGCTATACTGGCACAAGTTCTATGTGGGACTCTTCTCTGGATCAGGCCTTTGACCTCTGTCTGAAGAAGCAGCATGCTATACAAGAAGGAGCTGAGAGTTGAACCATAATTACTACATTCCAGGGTAGCATTTGGGTCCTGTTGTGAGCCAATGGGCCTTTTGTAAGATTTTGTCCTAAGATCTGAAGAATTAAAATAAGAAAATAAGTATTAATAAGTATTGTATGAAGTACCATTTCACATACATAGTGTAGAAGATTTTATGTTTTAGATTTATACAACTTGAGAAGTATCTTTAAATAATACAGTAATTATTCTCTCTTTCCCCCATAGGTTCGACCCAAGCCTGTGGCTCAGAATAACATTCCTATCGCCCCAGCACCTCCTCCCATGCTTGCAGCTCCTCAACTTATCCAGAGGCCTGTCATGCTGACCAAGTTTACCCCGACAACCCTCCCCACATCCCAGAACTCCATTCACCCTGTCCGTGTTGTCAATGGGCAGACCGCAACCATAGCCAAAACGTTCCCCATGGCCCAGCTCACCAGCATTGTGATAGCTACTCCAGGGACCAGACTCGCTGGACCTCAAACTGTACAGCTTAGCAAGCCAAGCCTTGAAAAACAGGTACGGGAAGGATATGCACCTGCCGTGGGTGGTAGTGTTGCCCTTGAGGCACTGGTTGCTGGGCTGTCTCTAAATACACCTTGTCAAGGGCTCTTCATCTCAGCACCACTGTTGATAACCTGTTGCTTATTATATAATCCTTCCAACATGCAAAAAGCCCATTCTTACTGAAACAAGTTGAATTGCTTTTCTCACCATCCCTTTATAAAGGGCTTCAGATTCTTGTGTAAGTGAGCTCCCCCTGCTGGTTCTGATGCAGAAGTTCACAGATGTGCTTCCTTGCTGAAGCAGTGGAGCCTAAAAGTAGTAAACAGAAAACGCCATATTAGTTTCGGCCCAATAAGAATCCAGATGAGGATATATCTGTGAGAGTCAGGAAGAATAAACAAAACAGAAAAGAAATTTAATTTCAAAAACCTTCCATGATTATTAGAGATAATATGTAGCCAAACAAATTCAGATTTCCAAAAATCATGCTCTAGCGGATGCAGACATTTAGTTCACTTATTAAAACCCTTCATTTATATTTTCTGAAATCCAAGTGTCTCTTAAACTGATGAGACTAGAATAATACAACTAACCTTAAAAGTCTATGGGAGCCCTCTAAAACCCAGCAATAACAACAAAGCAAAGGACTTATAGCCACTCACTATAGCCTTTTAGAAAAAAAGACCAGTGATGAGAAAGAAGAATTTTGCAAAGAAAGAAAAGCATCCCCTTTCAAGAAAGTTATTTTAAAGTCATTGAACTATTTCTAATTGACTTCCCATTCATGGTAAAAAATAGTCTCTGGTGACCTCCAATGTCCAGCTTCTGGATGGCAACAGACCATGATTGAGAGAGGTTAGCCACATGGTAGGGAATGAAGGCTTCCTGCTCCTTTAGCCTTCTTGAACAGAGGAACCTTACACATAGAGCACTCGGCCTTGTACTCAGGAAGCTCATAAATGTAGCAGACTTTATGCTTAAAGAAGCTAGCTACCAAAATATCATGCTCAGGAAACATGAGAAAACGCATATTGCCATTTCTGGGGAACCTGCACAGACCCCAGGAAAGGCTGAGGGACATTCAGAAATAGTTATTTACACATATTTTAGATTAGAAGTTTTCAGACACTCATTGGCAACAGAACTTAAGTATAAAATATTAAAATTCAAATGCTCAAGCTCAGGAGTTTAGTGGGGATATATTTGCAGATCTGTCTGCCCTCATGTGCTGTGCTGGTTCTCAGAGACCCTTTGAGAATGAGCCTTAGTGTCCCATAGAAGGTGGTTTCACAACACCCTTTTTGATCACTGGTAACACTGCTCTTTGACCTTTTTTTAATTATTATTAAAGAGATAAAAGAAATTTTTCAGTTTTATTTGTACATTTTTTATTACAAAGGTAATATATATTCATTTAAAAATGTAAACATTACTAAAATAAAAATTGTAGAAAGTGCTCTCCCCCATAATCAGTAAAGATTATAAACTGTGCCATAATTTTAGAATTTTACCCCCAAGAGTTAAGTACTATTAATACTTAGATTATATTTCCTCAGATATTTTCTGTGCACATGCTAACATTTTTTTAAAGCAAAACCCAAAACCTGCATATTATGTTTAACTTACTCTTTTTTCCCTTAATAGATCTTAAGCATCTTTTCATGTCTTGGTATTACATGTTGATAGAGCTTTTAATTTTAATATCAAAAAGATTTGCATGCGTTCTTAACAATTAATTTTTTTTCCCTTTTTTAGCAGTATATTCCAGTCTCTTCTTTTTTGAATAGGAAATCTAATAATAGAGGAATCTAATCATTGTCTTATTTTAGTTTGGTAAGCTTCCTAGCATAGCAGTCTTACAGATTACTAACCCCAATCAACAAGGGACTCTCTTTAGAGTAGATTACATTTTCTGAATTCTCTTATTTCAGGTCTTTCTACTATCCTTCTTTTCTCTCTTATTGCATTTCCAATATCACATTTTTAGCCATTAAGGCTTCTCATAGATGGGACTAAGAGTAAAGCAGTGTAAATATGGAGCCGAGAAAGTACCATGGTACCTGTGTATACAGTGTTTCAATATGATCAAATGACCTGGGTTCTTTTCTGCTTGATTTCATTTAGGGTGGTAACATTATTCATTTAATAAAAATATGTTTGTTAAATGCCAGCTGCTTGTAGTATCTGTATCCAGAGATAAATAATGAAAGCTTGTGCCCTCACAGAGCTCAGTCTCTGTTACATTTGAAGCAGGCACTGAGACTCTGCCACCAGAGAAGGAAGCATGGCAAATTATGGAAGTCCAGTGGCCTCACAGGAGTGCCAGTCATATCAACAGGGGTCTCAGTTCTTTCCCTTTTTGGACATTATCAACAAGTTTAAAGAACTTTGAGGCCGGGCGCTGTGAGGCATACCTGTAATTCCAGAGGCTCGGGAGGCTGAGGCAGGAGGATTGCGAGTTCAAAGCCAGCCGCAGCAAAAGCAAGATGCTAAGCAACTCTATGAAACCCTGTGTCTAAATAAAACACAAAATAGGACTGGGATGTGGCTCAGTGGTTGAGTGCCCCTGAGTTCAATTCCCAGTACCCCCCCCAAAAAAAGAACTTTGAGACTGAAGATGTACAGGCATAACTCAGAGATAGCGTAGTTTCTGTTTGAGACCACAACAGTGAAACAAATATTGCAATAAAGCAAGGTGTGAAATTTTTGCTTTCCTAGTACATACAAAAATTGGTTTATACTGTACTGTAGTCTGTTAAGTGTGCAGCAGCATTATGTCTAAAAAAATTTTCATACCTTAATTTAAAACTATGTTACTGCTTAAAAAAAAAAATGCCAACAATCATCTGAGCCTTCAGCCACGTGGTGGCTGCTGATTGATCCAGGTTGGTGGTCATTGAGAGTTGAGGTGGCTGTGGCAGCTTCTTAAGACAAAGAAGATTGCTGCATCATTTGGCAGTTCTTTCACCAAAAATTTCTGTGAACTATGTGATATTATTTGATAGCATTTTACATATATAGTAGAACTTTCATAATTGAACTGAATCTTCTCAAACTCTGCCACTGCTTTATCAACTAGGTTTATGTAATACTCTGAATCCTTCGTTGCCATTTCAACAATGTTCACAGCTTCTTCCCCATTGAAGGTTCCATCACAAAAAACCACTTTCTTTGCTCAATCATAAGGAACAGCTCCTCATCCATTAAAGTTTTGTCATCACACCAAGGCAGGAGGATTGCAAGTTTGAGGTCAGCCTTAGCAACTTAGTGAGACATTGTTTCAAAATAAAAAAAGAAAAAGGACAGGGATGTAGCTTAGTGGTAAAGTGTCCCATGGGTTCAATCCATAGTACAAAAAAAAAAATTATTATGAAATGGCGTCAATTCAGTCGACATCTTTAGATTCTATTTCTAATTCTAGTTCCATTATCTTTCCACCACATCTGCATTCACTTCCTTCACTGAAGTCTTGAATCCCTTAAAGTCATCCAACTTCACTAAAGGTCTGTATATGTTAATATTTTGATCTCTTCCCATAAATCATGAATGTTCTTAATGACATCTATAATGATGAATCTTTTCCAGAAGATATTCAATATACTTTGCCCAGATCCTTCAGAGAAGTCACTACATATGGCAAGTACATTGAGCAATGTAGTTCTTAAATGATAAGATGTGAAAGTTGAAATTATTCCTTTATCCATGGGCTGCAGCATTGATATTGTCTTAGCAGGCATGAAAACTTTAATCTTATATACAGCTCCATTGGTCCTCTAGGTTGACCAGGTACATTGTCAGTGACCAGTAATATTTTGAAAGGAATCTTTTTTTTTTTCTTCTTCCTGAGTAGGAAGTCTGAACAGTGGGCTTAAAATATTCAGTAGGCCTCAGGGCTGGGATTGGGGCTCAGAGGAAGAGCGCTTGCCTCACATGCATGAGGCTCTGGGTTCAATCCTCAGCACCACATAAAAATTAAAAATAAAGATATTGTGTCCACCTATAACTAAAAAATAAATATTAAAAAAAATTCAGTATGGGGCTGGGCATGTGGCTCAAGCAGTAGTGCGCTTGCTCGCCTGGCATGCATGGGGCGCTGGGTTCGATCCTCAGCACAACATAAAAATAAAGATTAAAAAAAAAATTCAGTAGGCCTTGTTGTAAACAGATGTGCTATCATCTAGGCTTTGGTGTTCATTTATAGAACACAGGCGGAGTGGTGTTAGTGTGATTCTTAAGGACCCTAGGATTTTCAAATTAGTAAATGACCACTGGCTTCAACCTAATGTCACTAGCTGCATTAGCCTCTAACATAAGAGGCAGCCTGTTCTTTGAAGCCAGTCATTGACTTCTCCTCTCCATCTGTGAAAGCCCTAGATGGCATTTTCTTTGAATATGAGGCTGTTTGATCTACAGTGAAGACCTGTTGTTTAGGAAATCCACCTTCATCAGTTATCTAAGCTAGGTCTCCTGGGTAACTTGCTGCGGTTTCTACATCAGAGCTCACTGCTTCACCTTGATGGCTTCTTTCCTTAAACCTCACAAACCAACTACTGCTAGTTTCAAATTGAAGAGAATTGGGGCCTTGCTCTGTATTAGACTTTGGTATAAGAGAATGTTGTGGCTGATTGATCTCTCCAGACCACTACAGTTCTTCCTATCATGATAAGACTCCTTACTTTTCTCTAATTTTTGTGTTCACTGGAGAAGCACTTTTAACTTCCCTCATGAACATTTCCTATGTACCCACCGGCTAACTGGCCTAAGAGTCCTAGCTTTCCACCCATCCCTGCTTTCAACATGCCTGCTTCATTAAGCGTAATCATTTCTAGCTTCCGATTTAAAGTGAGAGATGTGGGACTCTTCTGTCACTTCAATAGAGACCATTGTAGGGTTATTAACTAGGCTGATTACAGTACTGTTGTCTCAGGGAACAGGGAGAGGGAGAGACGGGAACCACCAGTTGGTGAAGCAGTCAGAACACACAGAGTATTTATCAATTAAGTTCACCATCT